TTGGGGGGGGGGGGGGAAGAGGTTGTTGCTGGTTTTGTTCTGTCTCTCTCTAAAGGCCCTTCTTCAGAAAACTCAATCATTTTGAATAACTGCAAGACAAACTGATGCAAAGGGGGGCGGGGGAGTCCAGGCTAGTCCTGTTGCCCTCCCCTCGCCATTGCGTCCTGGCGAGCGGCTCCCCTGGCTGTGGCAGCCGAGTCCGCCTGGCGGGGTTTGCGCGGGGCGCAGGGGCGGTTGTTCAGCGGGTTTTATGGAGGAACGGAGAAATGTTGCGGTTTTTTTTGCGCGCCTTTCGAAAGCGCGTGTCTCCCCTCCCCGTGAGGGAGCGCGGAGCGGGGCTGTGCGGAGGAGCGCGGAGCGGGGCTGTGCGGAGGGGTGAGGAGGGGTGCGGAGGGGCGCGGAGCGGCTGCCCCGCGGCGGGGCAGGGGGCAAGGAGCTGCCCACTCCTCATCCGGCGTGCGGGGCTGCTCCCAAGGTCTTCCCTTCAGCAGCCCCGGCGCTAATAAGGGAATAGCTCCGGTCCCGGGCAATTCCTTCCATTTCTGTGAGCAGCTGCTGAGAGAGAGGAGCACAAGTGAACACCTAAAGGGGAGCCGGAATAGGGCTGGCAGAAGCGCGCCTTTTTTGCCAGGATATTTTGTCTTTACAGGCTGCTGCCAAGTGAAATCCCCATCAGGAGGCCGATCCTGAACCCATTTACACGGGGTTAATTCCTGGAGGCCGCAGGAGAGTTGGTCCCCGGGCCGTGAGAGCGGCAATAGGCCCTATCGCCCGGGTCTGGCCGGAGCGTGCTTAAAATTCCTTAAATTAGCTCCGTGAAGAACCAGCGCAAACTCCTTTGATTAAAGCGACTGTCAGATTCTTCGAGATTAGGGGAGAGAAAACGCAGAGTAGGGTGTATTTATTATTTATGCTATAGTCCACTGTGAGCAGTTGGAAGGGGAGGATTAGAGAGCGCGGTGGAGAGAGAGCCCGAGCAAGCGAGGGGGCTGCAGCACTCTCTGTGCTTTGGACCCAGCTACTTCATGTTTCTCCCCCCTCTCAGCTCCCGGTGCAGCCCCCTCCGCTGCGCTCCCCAAACCGGGGGCCACCAACTCCTCCTCCCGCTCGCCCGCGCCGGCAATCAGCGTCCCGCATCACTTCGTTAACGACCCGACATTAGCAATCCGATAGCTCTGATTTTTTTTCACTCAAGTTTTATATTGTCCTGGTTGAGTCTGGGTCGTGGCACTAAAAACAGCTAGTCCTTGGGAAAAAAAAAAAAGGGAGGGGGGGGCGCTTTCCACTTTCCACTCTCAGGCTTGTGTCTGTGTTTAGAAATGCAGGGCAAGGGGGAAAAACAAAGCCATAATCTAGTTCTCACCGAGAGGGTTTACTTTAGACCTGGCTTTAATGGGGGCGGGGGACGGGGCAGCGCAGCCCTTGGATTTGGCTGAAGCAGAGGTGTGGAGTCCGGCAGCCTTATTACTTTAATTTTCTTTCTTTCTTCTCTTTTCTTTCTTTCTTCCTTTCTCTCTTTCTCTCTCTCTTTCTCTCTCTCTTTCTTTCTCTCTTTCTCTCCTTTCTGTCTTTCTCTCCTTCTCTCCTTCCTTTTTTTTTCCTTTTTTCTTTTTCTGTGGCTGTGGCTCCCCAATTCGGAAACATTTTCAAATCTATGAGCCTTGAATGGACAAATACTCGCTATTAATATGGGACATGGACGAGTGGCAAAAAAACTGAATGGAAACTGCGCGGTAGCTTTGGGAGAAACTAACGATGTGCTTCAGCTCTTGCCATTACAGGGAAGGAGAGGGGGGGAAACCCCTTCTGATTAATAACTAGCAGGGTAATGTTGAGGGCTTTTTCTGCCCGATTGCCTTTTTGAATTAGAGCCGATTTCTTCACACTTCAATAGGGCCTGTCTCTTTTAAAATGACTGACAGATTTGTTTCTCCTTTTTTCTCTCCCTGAGACTTAATGATGTAAATTTTCTAATTAGTTAAATCACGTTGCTTAAAGGCCTTAATATTTACCGGGCAAGGAATGATAGCCGCGTTCGGATCTCTCGAAATAAC